TGCATCAATTTGGCCAAAATTACATCTCGAATTCCTCAAAGGGAAAAATGGACAATTGTTAAATTTCTAGGTAATCTCTTCAAAATCTTCCAGAAAACACCAGTCCAGTCAATTCAGAGTTCCTCTGAGACCATCTCAGAAATATCCAAGAAATGTCACTGGTATGAACCAGTGCCTTCCTTCCATCCTAAAAATCCACCAAGTGGTTTCCTTCTAGCTCTCTCCAATCCTGATGAAATTTGGGGAAATCCATTCTCATTCTAAGGCACAGAGCAGTTAATCTGTGTTGACTGTCAACTCCTAACATTAATGCTGTCTCTGTAACCCAGTTATTCTACTTTCCCTTCATCTTTATGCCCAAACACTCTATGTGGCAGCAACAGTGAAAGTGTGTTGTCTGCCTTTTTATTGTTGCCTAACAATCAGACTCAAAGCAGATGACTAACATGATACCATCAGAAATAAAGATGCTGAAGAAATAAGCAAGTACACAAATCAAGAAAATAAATTCACACTATGCACAGAGTAAGTATACACATGTCATGAATAAGAAGAAAAATGAACATTACACTTTGATGAGTTTCAGTTACTAAAACTCAGTAACCTAGTACATGAAACTCTTGAAGAAAAATTATTTCCTCTTTAATCAGTGTCCCAGGTTAACAACATTCCTTTTCTATTAAGAAAACTATGCTTCTATCACTGCAAACAATGAATATGCATGACTATTTTACACAGTAAGCATTCAATAAATTCTTCTTGAACTAATGAATAAATTTTCCCTGTCTAATGATATCTAGCATGATTTTTAAAATCCTAAAAAAAAGGGGGGAGGAGCAGTGCTGTATCTGTTCAATTTTATTTGATGAGTATTCAACACACCATTAATTAATGCTTTTAAATAACAACCCTGACCTCAATTAGAGCTTCTCCAATAAAATTATTTACCATTACAATATACTCTTTAAACAGTAGAATACAATGGCAGACACTGAAAAAAAGTTTTTCTTCAATTTAAGACAAACCACCAAGAATATCTTTTAAGGCAGTAATTATTGTCAATTTTCTCTACTAGTCTGGAAAAAAATTTTAAAGTAAAATAAATCGAAGATGTGTACCAACTATTAAATTCTATAAATTATCAAACACAGAGATTATGCAGTAATGTTATAGTCTTTAAATTTTGTTTCACAGGAAAATAAAAAACCTGACTGTGGGGAATTTCCTGGTGATCTAGGAAATTCAAGTAGGGGAACTAAGATCCCACAAGCCTTGTGGCCAAAAAAAAAAAAAAAAAAAGCCTGACTGTGTCCAACACCTTTTCCCTGGGTCTTTCTCTCATCTAGATACCTAGCTCCAAATTCAACTAAAAGCCCTTCTCACTTCCCTTCTTCCTCCTTCTTCCTAACTGATAACTCATTAGGATCTTATCTTTACTCAGTTTCTCTTTAGCGTTAATGTATATTAGTTTCTTTCACATGATTCACTGAAACTGCAGCAGGAATACAGGTAAAATTCATGCCACTGCATACAGCAGAAACTGACTGAATGGCTAATGAGAGGTTGATGGGGTCTGCTTAGGAATAAAACCTGGGTCAATCTGCTCCTTCTAAGAGTAATGCCCAGTTTATCGAGGAGGTGGGCCAGACAAATAGTGATCATATAACAAAGGACAGAGGAGCAAAAATAGGAATTAAACCTTTCATGTTAAATGTACACACATGAAATACGCTGGGATCTATGGGAATTCAGCTTACAGATAAAATGGATTGTAACTGAAATGTCAAGGGATCAAAGTTTTAAAAAAATTAAAAGTAATACATTTAAAGGCAGAGTGGGCAGAATAATGTATATTAATGTTTACAAACCAACCCCACTGGGAAAGAATCTTCACAATGCTATAACAAGTATTGGTGAAGATGTGGAATAATTGATAATTGCTAGCGAGAATGCTGGTGGTACAGCTGCTTTGGAAAAAAAGTCTGGCAGTTCATGGAGTTACCATGTGATCCAGAAATTCTACTCCTAGGTATATATCCAAAGAATTTAAAACAAATGTCCACATAGAAACTTGTATGTGAATGTTTGTAGCAGCATTATTCATAATTGCCCTAAAAGTTCGCTCACAAATGGATAAAACCATATAAATTTGGCCTGGCCATTTCACATTTACAGACATAGTCACACTTGTAGGTAGATAAGCACACTGATGCTGTGTGCAGTAAGGACTGGAAAACCTCCAAATAACCATTTATTTATTAGCATTAAATAAATGACAATTAAGCCATACAATGCAACAATTTGTTGTTTAGCTGCTGAGTTATGTCCAACTCTTCTATGATCCCATGAACTGGAGCCCACCAGGCTCCTCTGTCCATGGGATTTCCCAAGCAAGACTACTGGAGTGGATTGCCATTTCCTTCTCCAGGGGATCTTCCCAACCCAAGGGTCAAACTAAAATCTCCTCCTGCATTAGCAGGCAGATTCTTTACTACTGCCCAGGGAAGCCCTACAATGCAACAATATGCAACCAGGAAAAAGAGCCAGTAAAAAGACCACTCTAGTGGGGATGGGAAGGGAGCACACAAAAAAATAAATAAATAAAGAGAGAGAGAGAACCACTATGCTGGTACGGCACAATTTGCAGAAACTTAAATATGAGTAGAAAACTGAAGGGAAAGAAGATGCTACCAGAAAGGGAGACTAATTACATTTATACATCTGTTTTGACGTTAAAAATGTGCATACACTATTTTCAGAAAACTGAGGGAAAAACAAATTGAGAAGGATGGTACCAGGTTGCCATTTGCTGAGGATGAGGTCTCAAGCCTTCCCTACAAGCCCAATAAAAAGAAATCCCCACTTTGCATCCTAAGTTACTTTACTTATCACACCCAAACAAGCTGATTTAGTATCATTTTTCCCAGGAAGACAAGACTGTCACTAAGAGACACAGGGAGGAATTCGAGGGGAAGTTCATTTCCTTAACCCCCTGGGTTAATCTTACTGAGATTGGACCCTTCTGTTATCTCGGCTTGTAATCTAAATAAGAGTATTGTGATTATATATGGTGCACCAATTCTTGCCTCAATATTCTGCTTGGTGATAACTTCTGACATTAATTCATTGATCACTACCTCAGGAAAGCAAGCCACACTGCATTTTTTTCTCCATAAAGAAGGACAATTTACTCCAATGACTTTGCCGACAGAAACTTCCTTTTAAACATAGACATTTAAAGGTGTATATGTATACATTTAAATCCGCATAGCCCACTTTATGGTTTTATACTTCATATCTATTTTGGTCTAAGCAGTAATTAAAACCAAATGAGGCAGTTCTACACATACTAATACAGAACAATCTTTTTGCTAAGAAATATTGAAAACAATGTGTAAAACAATGTACTGTATGCTGCGGTGCTTGGGTAAGGTAGAGATCGTATACATGTAAATAAACATGCCAGTCTATTTCTAGAAGAATTCACAAAAGACTAGCAGAGTAAGCTGCCTCCAGGTTTTGACACCCGGTTGCTGAGACCAACTTTTCTCTACATATAATACTCCTGTTTACCTTTGGAATTAAGAATTCTGTACCAAGGAAGTGTTCCCAAGTAAGTGTTACTTGTCCTAAAATCAAATGCTATTCAATAAGGTCCTTCGAAGAGATATACATAAGGACTGTGCGGGTCCTTCACCCGGGCCACCTCCTCGGCGGTGCACACCAGTGGGACCTGGGCGCAGCCTAAGCAAGAAGCTTCACCTCCTACAGTGCCAGGCGCTAAGGTGGAGCTGGGCAGGTGAATTACCACAACCCCTTCCTCCTCCCGCCTCCTCCAGTCCCCAGGGGCCTCACATTCAACGCCGAGAAACCTTCCGCTCTACACTCCACTTTCTGTGAAATGGACCTTAGTTTCCAACTGCCCAACAATCTTAAAAAACAAAAAATTTCTAATAAATTTCTGTGTTTGAACATTTTCTAAATTAATGTTCTGACCACTCCCGCTGACCTGGTTTATCAAAGGCTATGAGCGGGAAACAGTTTACATCAGTAAAAACCCAACACACCGAGGTTTACACACTCCACGCCACAGAAAACAGACTGAAAATTCCCTCAAAATGTAGACTAAGCTGGGCTGTTTACAAAGCGTTTCCACCTACATCATCACATTTAACGCCTTCCACAAGCTTCAGGGTCAATCCTGGCAAACCCTACGGCTCCCAAATTGGATTTATAAAGTCCTCAGGAATTGTAGAAGAGGCACTAACAATAAAGCAGCTATCAAACGGCTGCTTTTCTACCTGCAATTTCTCCGAAGTGACAACTCTGGGCATTCATCACACTGACCGGTTCAAGTGCCATCAACGTGACATTCCTTCCAGAAGCAAGACAGGGGAATTATCCCGAGGTCTGGGGTGTGCAAGTGCGCGCGCTGGGGAGAGGACGAGTGCAATGAGGACCAAGGCGAGAATCTAGCTTCCGCGCCCGGCCAAGGAACGCCGCCCCAGACGGGATTTCCCACAGAGCAGCGGAGGTTTGGCAAACGCCAAATAAACACTGCAGCTCCGGTGCCGGAGCGTTCAGCGCGCTCGGGGAATTCTTTGGAGTGATTCGGAGGTTCAGACTCCTTAAGGGCCAACCGAGATTGCAAACCGGGAGGCGGTATCAACTCGAATTTAGGAAAATCCCGAGGCGCCGAACAGACGCCAGCAATTTAGAAAGGTGACCCTCGGGCCATCCTGCTGGGGTAGGAGGATGCAAAACAGATAAAGTTACAGCTCTCAACAAACGCAGAAGGAAACTCGGGGTAGGGGGGCGCTCCCAGAGCCAGGCTCCTGAAGGGGGTGTGGCCGACTAGTGCTTGTAGGGGGTGGCGTGGAGGCGTGTCAGTTGGGCCCTGGGAGGACGCCTCTGCTGCCCTGGGTGGGTGGGCTAGGACCCCCCCGAGCCGGGTGCCGCGTGTCCCAGGCGCCCCGCTATGCTCTCGCTTGCCGGCTCACCGGTGATATCCAGGTACAGATCGTCCTGCCGATCCAGGTGGTGCAGCTCCTGCGACGTGGAGCTGCGGCTCTTCTTCACTCCCGGAGAGGACGAGCACCGCCGCGAGCAGGGGGGCGCGGCGGCCCAGTTCGGCCGCCGCTCGCTCTTCCGCTTCATGGAGGCGGCCGCGGCCCGTCAGGGGACCACGACCATGGCCTCGCGCGCCCACTACCCCGCCGAAGCCCCCGCCAACCCCGCGCGCGGGCGCTCGGGGCGGCGGGCGCGGAGCGGCGCTGCGGCGACGGCAGGCGCTGGCGGAGTCGGGCGGGAGGTGGCCGCGCGAGAGCCGGAGGAGGGGCCTGGCCCACCGCGCCTGCCCCGCTCCCTCCTGCGGCCGCCGCCGGACCCGCGCAGCAGCCCTCGCTACAGCGCCTCCTGCCGCTGCCGGCGCCCCCAAGCCGGCCCCCAGGTGCCCGCAGCCCGCTGGCGCGGCCGAGGCGAAGGTGCTGCCGCCAGCGGCTGGAGCTGCTTGGGATAACCGCGCGCGCCCACCGCGGCCACTGACGCTGCAGCCAAGAAGCCGGAGCACAGCGGGCCGCGGCTCCTGGGGACCCCAGGAGGGCTGTTCCGTGGAGCTTCATTCACAAAAAAGGGCCCACAAACCTCCTCGGGGCCCGCAGACTGAGGCCTTTCATTGGTCAGCGGGGCGTGACGTCACGTAGACGGGGCTTTTCTACCGGCAGGTAGTTGGTGACGCCATAAAGAAAAGTCTGAGTGGTTCCGCCAATCAAAGATAAAAGTGTGCTCGTGAGCCTTGGCAACCTCCCCTACTTTTCTGCTTCTTCTGTGTTACCGGAGTGCCTAGACCCCAGTTCCTAACTTCCTTTAGAGAGGCACCGAAGCTTTACACAGTCTAACAACTTAACTCCAGTTCTTTGGCATGTATATATATTTTAAGTATTTCTTCGTTTGCCCCGCAATTATGCCGAGTGAAAGGGGCTCTTGCCCTGGCTACTGGCTTGGAAGAGAATGAACTTCTTAAACTGTCCGGTGTTACTATAGACTTAAGGTAGAGTTGATTTCAGAACTTAGTAACTGTTAAATCAGCTACTCTCTTTTTATTTATTTCATTCTGATCTATGCCCACAATTCAAATAGACCAGGCAGAGGGCTACTTAAGAAGCCAAAAAAATCTACCGTGGAAACGATTTGTCATAATGGTTTGCACTTCGAAGTCCTTCATCTCAGAATCCTGCATCCATATTGACTCAGTAGTTATGCATGCCAGGTGCTAAGTTTTGTTTTTGTTTTTTCTAACCTAAGGGATCACTTGGTCCTTAGGTAAAATACTATACTGAATGTTGAAGTAAAATCAATATTGAAGTATAGAAGCAAGTGATGAATTTAATCCTTAACCTTTTATCAGGCAAACTGCAAAATTATATTCCTTTTTTTTTCCCCTACTGGGTTAAGATAATGCCTGGTCTTTCTAAAACTTAACCAAAACTGTCATTTTGGAAGGCCTTTAAATTTCCATGATGGCATGGAAAATGTTGTCAAGACTGGAGGGCAGTATTTAGATTTCATATCCCTAAATTCTACATCTTGAAAAGTATTCCTAATTTTTCACCAGTATTTTAATGTTTTACACTGCAATTGCTGCCAGCCTCTAGAAGGAAAAAGATGAATTTGAGTCAGTTCCCCAGGAAGCTGCTCAGAAATGCAAATTTCCATGAAATACCTCCCCAGAGGGGCGTTGACTTCTACTGTTGAAGGCCTTTGCCTAAAGCACTACTAATTAAGGAGGCATTGGGGTTGGGGAAAGCTGTGTCTGTGTGACTGGCTTTTGAACAGTCTGGAACTAGATGTCTGCCACTTAGACCTGAAACTCAGTAATCATGTTCATTCTGCCCCTTTCCCATATGGAAATCAGTCAGGGAAGGCCTTAAATTTAAAATGGTCTACATGTTGTCTGTAAGGGTAACAAAGAAGCAAGAGAGTTGGGAGGCTGTGAAGTACTGGTGCAAACAGAGCCTATACAAGCAGAAACCTAGCCATCCCACTTCCTCTGTTTTGACAGAGAAGAGAAGGCCTTTCGCACTGAACTGGGGCTCAGTGATAGGAAGGCTGCCGCTTTTCAGACTATCTGTCATTTTACAAGAGTAGGTCTTGGTTTTTGTTTTATTGTCCTGATACCAAGCAGAGCCCTGTGGGACTCCTGGGCATGGAGGCCTTTTTGTCCCCCATTTCTTACAGACAAGACTCCAGTCTCCATGACTTACTCTCAGTTCTAAATGGCAGAAGAGTTGCTAAAGAAAGGAGGAACAGCAAGGAAACCACCTGAAGCAAGATTAAAGGACCAGAGAGGCTTATCACTTCATGGCAAATCGATGGGGAAATAGTGGAAACAGTGGCTAACTTTATTTAAGAGGGCTTCAAAATCACTGCAGATGGTGACTGCAGCCATGAAATTAAAAAGACGCTTACTCTTTGGAAGAAAAGTTATGAGCAACCTAGACAGCATATTGAAAAGCAGAGACATGACTTTGCCAACAAAGGTCTGTCTAGTCAAGGCTATGGTTTTTCCAGTAGTCATGTATGGATGTGAGAGTTGGACTATAAAGAAGGCTGAGCGCCAGAGAATTGATGTTTTTGAACTGTGGTGTTGGGAGAAGACTCTTGAGAGTCCCTTGGACAGCAAGGAGATACAACCAATCCATCCTAAAGGAAATCAGTCCTGAATATTCATTGGAAGGACTGATGTTGAAACTGAAAGTCCAATACTTTGGCTACCTGATGCGAAAACCTGACTCACTGGAAAAGACCCTTGTGCTGGGAAAGATTGAAGGCAGGAGGAGAAGGGGCCAACAGAGGATGAGATGGTTGGATGGCATCACTGACTCGATGGACATGAGTTTGAGTAAACTCCGGGAGTTGGTGATGGACAGGGAGGCCTGGCGTGCTGCAGTCCATGGGGTCACAAAGAGTCGGACATGACTGAGTGACTGAACTGAACTGAGGCTTATCAAGATTAGGAAACTGGACCACCTAAGACCCCAAACTCATGGTAATCTTGTCAGCAGCCACACCCTCTTGCAACTTTTCAGAAGAAAGAATACAAGACTGTTACTGCCTTGATCTTTATGGAATATTCCTTCTGACTATATAACCTTTCTCTGCTCACCAGGGAGCTGGGCACAGTTTTTGCGCTAGCCTACTGTGTTCCCCCTTTGCCTGGCAAAGTAATAAAGCCTTTCTTTCTTTCTCCTCCGTAACTCTCTCCATATTTCTGTTTGGCACTGGTGCACAGAGAGCCAAGATTTTAGCAACAGTATTGAGGTATAATTGACATATAACATTATATTAGTTTCAGTTGTACAAATAGTGATTTGATATCTATATAAACTGCAAAATATCACAGTAAATCTGGTTAACATTGAGTAGGTCTTGTTTTGAATAGAGGATACATGAGAATTGTCCAGTTGGCTCCTTAGATTAAAGAAATTCAAGTACTCTTTGACATTCTGTTTGTTTGAGAGTGACTTATCTAAATGTCAGGCTAAGATAAGATGTCAAGAAGTTCACTTATATCAATTTGTTTTCTCTCACCTTTGGATGCAATGTTCAGGCTAGAAACTCTAATAAAATAATATGATTTCAGTAATAGAAAAAGTTAAAAATATCAATAGCTATACTGTTAAGGATTTTCACATTTTATAAGCATTAAAATTATATGGTTTTGTTAAGTATAACATCATTAAGAGAGAAGTTATATGATGACACTTTGAAATCATGTAGAAATATCTTCCATTTGGGGGAATAGGCAGTCCATATGTGAAGCATAGTCTTCCCTGATAGCTCAGCTGGTTAAGAATCCACCTGCAATGCTGGAGACCCCAGTTCAATTCCCGGGTTGGGAAGTTTCTCTGGAGAAAGGTACGCTACCCACTGTGATATTCTGGGTTTCCCTGGTGGCTCAGTTGGTAAAGAAGCTGCCTGTAATGCAGGAGACCTGGGTTTGATCCCTGGGTTGGGAAGATCCCCTGGACGGGAGGACATGGAAACCCACTTCACTATTCTTGCCTGGAGAATCCCTCAGGACAGAGGAGCCTGATGGGCTGCAGTCCATAGGGTCACAAAGAGTTCGACACAACTGAATAAATAAGCATAACCATAGCATGTGAAGTATACACATCAAAGTTTGTGTTTTGTTTTTAAGTTGTGTTTAGACAGTTGCAGAAAAGCGCTATTACTCATTGATACTTGTTTTGAGTGTAACACATCTCTGGAACAAATTAGCTCTTTCCACTGTTCAATAAGCTGAATTCTGGGCTCGTGAGAATTTGGCCACAGGAAGTGTAGTTTAGCTTGCTTTTTTGGTTGGCTAGTTTGTTTTTCAGATTGACCATTGATCATAGAATTTTAGAGCCTGGAAGCACCTTAGACAATATTTGGTGCAAGGCTGTCCTTTCACAGTGAGGACATAAGGACCCACATAAGCGGCAGTGGCAGCGCTTGGGGCCAGAATCCAGACATTTTCCAGAGTTCCGATTGTCTTTCCTTGAACTGGCAGAGCTTAGAGAACAAGTGCAAGTGCATCTGGTTGTGATCTCAACATCATGGGTAGCACAGTGTAAAGTTAAAAAAGGGAAGGGAGGGGTTCTCTAAAATAGTCCTTTCTATTAGGTAAATTGACGCTGAAAGGAAAACAAATTTGGAATATTTTCTTATATATTTTAGGTGACTCATATTCTGAAAATTTAAAAATCTTACCCTAAAATGAATAAAAACTAGTGGGTATATATGTAATGCTAAAGTTTGAAATGATAATATAGATTTCAGAATCAGTGAATTACAGTTTTAACTATGTGAAGGTAATTTAAGATCAAATTGTCATAGAGACTTAGAGGGTTTAGATAGTTTTGAACGTATTTTTCTTAAATACATTAGGAAATCTTCACTAGCTCAAATCTTCACTAGCTAAAATCTTCATTAGTTCAAATCTTCACTAACATATTTAAGGAGAATTGGTTTTATTTCATTGATTCTTCTGGTCATCTCAGTATTAATCTGAAATCCCCCATGTTCCTGACCCTGAGACTGAAATTCTCTTAGAATTGCAAGAAAGAAGAAAATGATATGTAATTATATATATGATATTTGTGTGTGTGTGTGTG